TTTATCCACAGTTAGTTACATGAATTCAAACAATAAGCATTAATAAGTTGTACTTACGCACAAATTACTTGTAATTTTGAATTTTAAATAATATGCATTAATAGTACTTCATGCATAAAAATAGTTTTTAAGAGTTTTTTATCAAATGATTTATAATATAGCATAGATATTTTTTTTTTCATCAAAAGTTTTTAACATAAAAGTTATTTAATAAAGTATTAAAATGATAAAACAATCAATTATTTTAATATTATAATTAATTTTAAAAATTTTGAAACAACATTATGTTCTCAAATTTTTTTGAAGTATATAATATTTATATGAACAAATTGTATGAAAAAATAATGTACTTTAACTTGATTCATATTTTGAGTAATGTATTTTTAAAATTTCTATTTTGGTACCTAATATGTAAAATTTTAAACATTTGAGTACCCGGACAACCAGTTGAAGCATTCACCAGTTATCATGTTGATGTGATGAGTGATGTGGTATCCAACTCAATATCATTAGCTGACGTGGTTAGTAACATTATTTTTTAATCTAAAATTAGTCTTCAACCGGTTATTCGAGTACTTAAATGTTTAAATATTTTACATCTTAGGTATCAAAATAAAAGTTTTGAAAGTACGTTACCAAAAATAGGAATCAAGTTAAAGTACGTTATTTTTTCATGCAATTTGCTCTATTTATATACGACAAATACAACAAATAAACTTACACACCCTTCTCACCTTTGAGGTTTGAACCGTTGATCTTCTAAGAGGTCAGAGACTATGATACTGTTAGGTCAAAGACCCTTTGGTATGTTCTCGAATCTTGGAGAAAAAAAGAAATTGAAGGAAAAAGAAAGAAACTAAAAAAGAATATTTTTATGTAATAAGAGGGTACTCGCGCAATGCAGCAAGATAAATCTTCATTTTAAAATTTAATGTTTAATTTTTATTATTTGTTTAATTTTTATTATTTGTCTCTATCGATATAATCTATACTATGTTATAAAGCATTTGGCTACAACTCTTAAACCCGTTCATCCCTAAACGATTTCATCCCTATCCGATTTCATCCAATATCTGAATTCGTGTAACTAACTGCAGATAAACRCAATCAAATACAAGATAAACATCTCATTTTAAATATAAAAAATCTAAAATATAATTAGTATAATCATTAAATTATAACAGAATACTTAATTATTATCTTTATAAAATTTATAATATTAAACCAAAAATAAATT